AACAAAATCAGTACTGAAAGGAAATTTTATAATAACAAATGGCTTCACCAAAAATGTAAAAATAATAAAATAAATAATACTACTCTAGTTACTACAAAAGGAAGAAAATAACTAAGGCCAATATTAGCAGAGCAAGAGAAACAATAAATATCAGAGCAGAAATAAATGAAACAGAAATTAGAAAAGTTGTACAAAAGATCAGCAAAACCAAGAGCTGTTTTTTTGGAAATATTAACAAAATCAACAAACCTTACCAACAAAAAAGAGACAATGCTCCATATATCAGAAATGGAAGACGAAACAGTATAACAGATACTGTGAACACATTGGATCATAAGAGATGGTATGAACAACTGTACTTAAACAAACTAGATAACCTAGAGGAAATGTATACAGTCAATGATACATATAACTTATCAAGGTTGAATCATGAAGTAAGAGAAACTCTAAACAGATAAATAACAAGGAGACTAAATCAGTGATAAAATTCATACATCAAAGAAAGTCCAGGATCTGATGGCTTCACAGCTGAATTCTTCTAGACATTTAAGGATCTACTGCCAATCTTCAAACTCTTACAAATAAGTGAGAGGGAATAATACTTTCAAACTCTTTTTATAATGCCAGCATTACCCTAATGCTAATGCTAATGCTAGACAAGTATATCACAAGAAAATTAAATTGTAAGTCAATATTCTTCATGAATATAGAAGCAAAACTCCTCAAGAAAATACTAGATAACTAAATTCAACAACACATTAAAAGAATCAGCCATCATGATCAAACAGATTTTATCCCTAGGATGTAAGTATGTTTCAAATTACACAAATGAATAAATCTGACAAACCATATTAACAGAATGTGAGACAACAAGAAAGTATGATCATCTCATTAGGTGAAGAAAATGTACTTGAAATGTTCAATATTCTTTCATGACAAAAACGTTTCTAAATTAGATACTAAGACTGGGGATTTAGCTCAGTGGTTCCACCACCTGCCTCGCAAGCGCAAGTTCCCAAATTCAATCCCCAGTACCAGAAACAAACGAACAAACAAATAAATTAGGTACTAAAGGAATATATCTCAGCAAAGGAGTAGCGCAGCATTGACATTATACTCAGTGGTGAAAAATTTAAACTGTCCCCTCTAACATCTGCAACTAAACAAGGGTACCTGCTCTTGCCACTTGAGTCCAGGATAGTATTGGACTTGTTGACAGAGCAATTAGGCAAGAGACAGAACATGAAAGGAAGAAGTGAAATTTCCCCTCTTACTGGTAACATCATCTGATATATAGAAAACGCTGAACATTCCACTAAAAAACTATTCAAACTAATAAGATCACAGGGTACAAATTCAGTGCCCAGAAATCCATAGCATTTCTATACACAGGGAACTCTCCAAAAAAATAAATCCATTACATTTATGATTCTACAAAAAAATAAAATAGAAATACATTTAGCCAATAAAGTGAAACACCTGTACACCCTAAAAGCTATAAAACATTGCTTTAAAAAAATTAAAGAAAACAAATCAGTGGAAAGATAACCTGTATTTATGGATTAAAATTGATATTATTAAAATATCAATATTTCCCAAAGCAATCTACAGATGCAAGATAGTCCCTATCAAAATCTCAACATCATTTTCTATAAAAATTGAAAAAAATGTATTTGAAACCACAAAAAACCTGAATAGCTAAGGCAATCACAACAAAAAGAACAAAGCTAGAGGTATGGTACCAACTGATTTATAACCATATTACAAAGCTATAGCCATTAAAACAGCATGGCACTGGAAAAACAAAAAAAAATAGAAACACTGACCAATGAAACAGAGTAAATAGCCCCAAAATAAATCCAGGTGCCAAAAAATACACAATGAGAGAGAATCATTTGTAGAACAGTAGATGCACCTGCAGGCTATAATGTTAAGTGAAATAAATCAGGCATACAAGCTTAAATATCACATGGTCTATCTTATTTAATAAACCTAAAGTATAAATACATTGCACAGCAAAATAAAAGTACAAGAACAGGAAACTAGGAGATAGATATTTTGCAAAGGGGAAAGGGTCAAGAGACAGATGGGGAGGGAGTGGAAGGGGAATACAAAGAATGAAAATATGTTAAGCACAGGCACCTACTCCCTAAAATGAATGCAAATATTATTTACTGCAAATGTGTACTAATAAAAAATTGAAAAATAAATTCTATTTCCATATGTATTGAAACAAAAAATAAATAAGTGGTGCTGAGAAAACCAGATGTTCACATTCAGAAGAATAAAATTAGACACTTCGATCGGGTATAAAAATCAACTCAAAATGGATTAAAGATGTAAATGTACAAGTAGAAAATAAAATTACTATAAGCAAACTTAGGAAATAACCTACAGGATGTTGGTTGGTCTGGGGGATAGTTTTTGATCTAACCACAAAAGCACTGGGTACAAAAACAGAAGTAGACAAACAGCATCGCACTAAACTAAAATTCCCTGCATGGAAAGAAACAGTTAATAGTGTGAAGATATGTGTGGATTGGTAGAAAATATCTGCAAGCCACACACCAATAAGGGTAAATACTCAAAATATATAAGGGGCTCACATCAATAGCAAGAAAATAATCCAACTTAAAACGGAGACCTTTCTGAGAAAAGAATAAAAATGATCAAGAGAAGCATGTTTTTAAAAATGTCCTTGATCATGAATGATGAAGGAAATGCAAATGAAAACCACAATGAGACGTCACCTCACCTGGTAGAAGACCGGTCGTCAGAGATGAACGTAGGCAGGGGTGAGGGTGTGGAGAGCAGGAAAGTCTGCTCACTGCTAGGGGAACTGTGAAGGACTTCGGCCTTATGGAAACTGCATGGCCTTCTCAAAACTCCAGAATAGGATTACTGTGTGATCCAGCTAATCCTCTTCTGGGTATTTACCTAAAGCATTTGAAATCAGTTTTACAAAAGATTACTGCACGCTCATGTTTACCGCAGCACAATTCCCAGTAGCCAAGTCGTGGAATCATCTAAGGCCATCCACAGGTGAATGGACAAGAAAACACAGTACATAGACACAACAGAACACTGTCCAGCCCTAAAATGTGGAAAATCCTGTCATTTGGAAGTGGAATAAGCCAGGCACAGAAAGGCAACAATTGCATGACCTCACATACCTGTGGGAGTTAAAACAACCCAGTTTATAGAAGCAATGCACAGAACACAGGTTGCTAGAGGCTGGGTCCGGAGGGTTACGGAGTTGGTAATCAGTGATACAAAATCTCAGAGAGTAAGGGTTTTTATAAAATCTATAGTACAGCACGGTGACTATAGTAAACAACCATGTAATGCACATTTAAAAGCTGCCCAGAGTAAATTTCAAATATTGTGGCCACAAAAAAATGTTAAGTATTTGAGGTGAGGGATGTTTTAATCAGATTGATTTCACTATTCCACTTCGTATTCTTAAATCATTAAAGTCACCGTGTTCCCCATAAATATATACAATTATACTTGTCAATTTATGGTAAAATGAAACAAAATTTTAGATGAATCATTCAGTCAATCAGTACCAAAAAGGGTGAAAACTCAGAAAAATGTATGACAAGCTCAGCTAGGTACTTTAGGGAGGAGGAAACACAAATGGCCCATAAGCATGACGAGAAACTGGGACCCTTTGGCTTTCCTCATTTTGGGAAATGGTCCATGGAACCCATTCATATCCACTGAGCAGGCAAAGGCAGAAGTCACACGCTGCCAGTCGGCGTGGCTTGGGTCGGCCCTGCTCTGGGTGTGAGGGGAAGTTAGAGCGGCCTCTCTGGTAGGCCTTTGGCACCTCTTGGGGAAGCTGAACCTGTGTCTGGCGTTGTCCTTGTTTCTCCCCACTCCCAGGCCAGTCTGAAGGCACCTCTGTGCGTCTGGGGCTCATCCTCTCTGTCCCGGACAGGGCGTCTCCCAGGCTCATCACCTAGGAAATCCCTATTGGGCTGAGGTCTGGCGGAAGTTAGAGAGAGAGCAGGAGTAGAGAGAGAGCAGGACACAGGACACGTCCCCCTGTGGCCCCATTTCTGGTCTGCCCAGAGCCTGATCCATGCCAGCTGCAGCCTCCAAGCCCACCCTGCTGCAGAAGGGAGGAAAACTGCAAACCAGGAGGGACCGGCACAGCGCAGTCCCACTCGTTCAGAGCACACAGCTCTAGACAGCGTGTTATTTATGTATTAAAGAGCTGGCAAAGCGGTGATTAACACCTAATTCAAGATTCGGGTTGTCTCTGCTCCAGCAAAGAAGGAAATGAGGAGCAGCCACTTCGAACGAAACCCACCAGGAACCTCTGTCCTGGGCTGTTAAAGCATGAATCAGTCTCCCTTTTCCGTTACACCTTCCTCGTATATCGTGTGTGTCTGCCGGATATATTTACTACTTAATAAAAAACAATTTTAAAAAGATAATCAAGGTTTTTCCCAGAACAAAGACTCTATTATTTGAACAGTCCTCATGCTCACATTAAAAAACCACGCAGAATTACGTTTTTACAAAACTTCTACAAATTAAAAATAGCAAACAAAAACAAATAGCCAAGATCCAAATATTTTAATGACTATAGGCAGTAGAGTGACATCGATTTAAAAAATAGGGCCGGGGATTTAGCTCAGCGGTTCGGTGACCTGCCTTGCAAGCGCAAGGACCCGAGTTCAATCCCAATTTAGCTCAGGTTCGGTGACCTGCCTTGCAAGCGCAAGGACCCGAGTTCAATCCCCGGTACAAAAAAAATAAATTAAAAAAAAATAATAATTAGCCTGATATATTGCAAGTTTTTAAACAGTGTCTCATGAATAAGTATATATTGAAGTAGTCTATGAGCAAATTAATTTTTTAAGGAAAGGAGAGCCCTACACTGCACGTCAGGAACTTGGAAAATGATTAACCCAGCCCTCTGTACCTGAAGTCAGATAGGACAGAAGCATAGAGCGGAGAAGTGAAAGAGAGGAATAGCGGAGGTGAGGAGGGCTCTGGCAGTAGCGGAGGAAGCGGGGTCCTTGTCTCCTCCTGAGCGAGGGGAGCCTCTGGAGTGAGGTTCTGTCTGCGTGGAGACCAGAAGGATGGAGGACGTTCCAGACCGGGCTTCCGGGAAGGCCAGAAGCAGAGCTGAGACACTAGCAGGAAAGCGCGTCGCCTGCCGCAGGAGGGCCAGGTGGACAGAATCAGGGAAGCCACCACCCGCACAGTCACCTACAGAGATCACCCGGAGTAGAACGTGGCCACCAGCGTCTGCGTGGGTGAGGTCTGAGTTCCTAGCTATGTCCTGCAAAAGTTACATTTTCCTTCGGCAAACAACATCTTCATGGTAACGGAGCTCTCTGCTTCCGTTTCCTCCTCCAAGACGGTGGGGCGCTGACGCTATGGCAGCCCTCTTCAGGCCTGTGGGGGAGATGACGGAGGTGACACGCAGAACGCCCAGGAGGAGGACAGCATCCGGCAGCCCCTGCCGTTGTTCTAACGCTGTAGAGCTGCACAGACTGCTGGGACAAGGCTGCTTCTCCCCGTGGGTCACTCAGGCATTTCGATAGTACCCTTCTGCCATAAGGGTTCCCTGAGGGATTCTGAGTAGCAGAATGTGCTTTCTGGGAGGGTCACTCTGTCTGGGGCCAGCAGCGGATGCAGAAGGATTAGAAGACTTCTAGACAGGAAAGGGAGGAAGGGAGGAAGACTCCAGGGGGCTCAGCTGGCCACACAGAGGGCATGTGGAGGGCTGACACGAGTATCTGTGACTCCCTACTTTCTATCTGAGAAACTCCTGGCCTGCAGAAGGCCGCGTCATCCCTCTCTCCTAACTTAATTAGGCCCCCTCAAACTGATGCTGAAGTCATGACCACCATTCCCCCCACCTCATGTGTGACCCACGGGGAAATAGGGGATCCCTCTCATGCCGTATAAGCAGAGTCACAACCTCAGGAGCGAGGCACCCAAGGAGATGACCAAGGAGCAATGGCACCAGAAATGGCCCAAGGGGACAGGGAACCCACCAAGCAGTGGGAGCTGGAGGGACAGCAAAGATGCTCTCAACGGCCTTCAGAGGACACAGGGCTCTTCAGTTGCGGGCTTGGGGCCTCCAGTTTCCTCTAAATAGGCTGCCGGGTGATTTCGCCCCACTGTAAGAACCCCATGTTTAAGAGGATGAGCTATGATATCCTCTAAGTTAGCTGCACTGAATGCAGTTTGAAATATAATGTTTTCAACTCATGTGGGCTTATCAGGACAGGACCTCCTCCAAGTTGAGAAATCTGTGTCTTTGTAGAATGCGGGTCCTATCACAAGTGTCATCTCCTCCAAAAACTGCATTAGCTGTTCTCTTCTAGACTCCTCCGGCAGGCAGTGTCATGAGGACAGGCAGGGAGCCCCAAATGGCCCAAGTCGCCAAGCTAGCAAAACAGCAAAACAGCCTGACACCGCAGTCTACCGGTGCTCCCAGGGCTGCCCGCTGGCCTCACTGTCTCTCTCCTACCTCCAGGCGCAGCAGCCCTGCTCCTTTCTCTGCTACATGCTCTGTTACTCTCCCTTTAATGAACAGAGCCCTAGGGGGTCGCTCCGAACTCTACCAGGCACACCCCGACCTATTTTCCACGTTCCTCTTGCGAACTGAGGGATTGGTGTTTCCAGCACCGGGAAAGGAGGACATGTTGTATTCACATCTTGCTCGGCTGCTCCTGCCCCCTAGAGGATGTTCTGTTCATCACCAATGTCTGGCTGGGGCCATCCCTAGAAGACATTCCATTTCCTTCTTTTTGTGAACTTCTCTGGTCGGTCAAATGTTTCTGCTCCTGCTGGAACCGTTTGCTTCTCCTCCTCTGTTCTCATCCTAGTGCTCAAAGCTCTCGCTGTTCCCCATTTCTGCTTAATTCTGAAATGCAGTTCATGTCAAATTGTGTGTGTGTATAAATGAAGCCTTGTTGTAGCAATATGGTGCTGGGATTATGGTGTAATTCAGCAACATCTGGAGCTCCCGGTGCCTCTGCTGTCCAGACCTCCCAGATGCAGGCGTTCTCGGTCCGCAGGAGGAGCTGGGAGACACACAGCTGCTGTCTCTTCCTTCTTCTGTCTACTGCTTCATCCTAGGCCGTGGGGAGGGGCTGGACCTGCTGCCCTTGGCGGAAGGGCCCCTATTGGTTGGATCTATGCCTCCCACCCATGACTTCCTATGGGGTCCTCTTAGACAATCCAGCACCATGCAGAGAGTTTCTAGCACTGTCCACTAGCAAAGCTGCCTTGGTTCCACGGAGCACCTTAAATGTGGCTGAGGTGATCAAGGAATTGCATTTTTAATTTCATTTTCCTCTAAATTATTTACATTTAATGAATGTCATGTGTCCAGTGGCGGCTGTATCGTATAGTTCTGGCCTCAATATTTCTCCCAGGAGCCTGCGGTCAAAATGCGAGGGATGGAGTTAAAAGCTCTTTACTAAACCAAGCACACAGACAAGCAGGTAAGTTCTACCAACAAAAGTATTTTCTGAATCAAAGGTGAACTCAAACCAACCAACAGAAGCCTTCACTCCTATGCAGAAAGCTGAAGGAAACGCACAGCTGGAACATTAGCACACACTGACGGGTGAAGGGGCCACAGGGGTGAGGGTGGCAGATCCGCCTTGAGGCTGAGAGCCCGTGAAGAACATGCCTTCTCATCCTCCCACCTCCCAAGCTGTAGTGCAGCTCCACCCCCGCCCCTCGCTCTCGCGATGGAAGCTTTCATATAAAACATCTACTGAGAGATCTCTGAATTATTATTGACAGGGCAGCTCCTTTGGGAGTCGTCCTACGCTTTCCACAAGGTCTTCCCAACCCTGTTCGTTTTGTAAGCACCACCTTCCCTCCGTTTTGCCAGGCACCCTAAATTCTAACGAAGAGTGCCCCCCACCCCGCATGGATAAGATTCCAAGTGCTGCATAATCTTTCTTTAGATTTACAGAGCCCAGAACATCTGTGACCTTCGCAATGCCCCTTCTTAGTCATTAGTACTCTGCGTCAACTCTTTCAAAGCATGTAAATTGCTTTGAAGTTTAATTTGCAGAGAAGTAATCTGTCTATTTTTAAAAGAACTACAGGACCCATCCCCAGGAAGTGGAGATCCACTGTGATGTTCTGGAGAAGAAAAAGAGAGACAAATGCCCTGGACATCAAAGAGCCCGCTCAGTGCACAGCCTTCTTGCCCTGCTCCTCCTCTACCTCCCTCTAAAAGACTGCTGGACTCTTCAGCTCCTCAAGATGGAGCTTGAGGACAATACTCCTCTCCATCTTCCAGGGTGCTGGATGTTAAATAAGCCTCATTCCTCCTAAACAACCCTTGCCCCCAGATATTGGCCTTTGAGTGGTGAGCAGCCCAAATCTTATTCACATAAAATTATTTGGCTGGATTTTCTAACACTATAATTTCAATTTGTTCTCATTTTCATAAAGTCCTTTGGCCTTTAATAACATCTTCTCGTTTTGTGAGTTCCACCTGTCTTTATTTCTTTGTCCATCTGTATACCATGTGTATGCCAATGCTGTGGCAGGATGTTTTATCGTTTCTAGTTCTTCGGATGCAAACTCTCCGACACATCCTTTCCTGACTATCCCTCATCATGGTGGATTTTCTCTGAGCTTGGTATTATATGTATCAGCTCATTTTCCCTCAGAGTTGACCTGGGCCATAATGTTCCCTACAGTGGGAAAGTGTTTTCATGGGACAGTCATTCTGGATCTGCTTAATGAGCTCACTGGTTCTAAATTAGTTTGGCCTTTAATTCTTTGTTTTAGTTTTTGCATCATAGCACTGTGTGGACTTAGATTCTAAAATCATTAGGGCTTGGGGCTTCAACTACTTGAGAGAAACAATTTTTACCTATGGCAAATTGTTTCTTATCTGCTCTCTAAGGATGAATCGTGGTTATTCCAGCTCCTGTCATAAATCAGGTAGATTCTTCTCTGCTCTATGCTTTTTGCAGAGAGTCCAAGTCCAGTTTCTTTTAAATATTGGATCTCAAGTCTTCACTGAAGACTCAATACTGTGTAGGCATGAAACTCCAGCTCCTAGGTCATACGTCAGCTTCTAACACCTGTGAGACATTCAAGGCTTCTTTCCCCCCATGAATCACTTGAGTTCTCTCTCACTGTCTAGCACCTAGAGACTCCCTAGTACTGCTTTCTAAATCTATGCTCTTGTTTTTTTAAAAAACTAAATAACACTTTTAATTTAATAAATAAATAAAACTTTAATTTTACTACATTCATATACATATGGAGGAGGGGGAAAGGCACATGCGGCAAGGCACATGTCACTGTTTTTCTGACTATCTATCGCTGTGTAAGAAACCACCACAAAACTTAATGGCTTAAACCATCAACAGACTTTGATCTCACTTGTAAACCCGTCATTTGGGCAATGATGGCTACATCTGTCAGTGAGGGCAGCTTGAGAGGAGCTAGAGGCCACACCCCCAAGATAGCTCCTTCGTGTGACTGGCAAGTCTGTGCAGACAGGAGACTGATCTCGGTGGGTGCTGCCAGCTCAGGCCTCAGCTCCTCTCTACAAGGTTGATTGCACTTGCTCAGAGTGAGAGTTCTCTGGAAGAAAAGAATTAGTAGCAAAAAGAAAAATATACATATACATAGTTATACAAGGGAAATTATTAGGTGGGCTTACAGGATCAGAATGGGAGAATCCTCCATGGCCCAGGATCAAAACAGGGAGAATCTAGCCGGGCTCAGCCATGAAGACGGAAGCCATGGAAGAAAGGGGACTAAGGATGCAGCACCAGCCTGAGGTTGAAAACTCGGAAGCTCACTGGAGGATCACTGGTACAAGTCTGCATTGAGGGCTAATGGCAAACACTGCAGTTCTTCAAAACAGAGACACTTCCTTCTTTTTTCTCTTTTTATTCCATCCAAGTTACCAGCCTATTGGTTGCTGCCACCCACAACTAGGCTGGGTCTCCTCCCCTCAGCTTGCTGGCCTTCATGTCAATCATCCACAGAAACACCTGGAACTATGTTTTATTGGTCCACTAGGTATTTCTTACTCCATTCAAGTTGACACATCAGGATTTATGGTCACAAAGACTGTGCCTGGAAACCAGCATTGTTGCTGCTGTGTTGTAATATTGGGTGTCACTGACCCAGGCCAGATTCAAGGGAAGAGCTTGATTGTACCTCTAAATGGAAGAACTATCCAGGATTTTCAGCAAGCTCTAACCCTTGGTGGGGACAGACTTCAATCTTCTTTTCTTCCACACTCTATCTGTAAAACACTTCTCACTGGATAAAAGTGACTTCTCAATGGAAATGTACTTGAGTGCCCTTACAACCCAAAACCTTACTTTATTACTCTTCTACACTCCAAATTACCTCTTTCCTTTTTAAAAACAGAGTTCTAAGCATGGCTAGGATAAGAACCTACCATTTCACCCCAAGTCACCAAACTTACAGAAATTTCCTGGATGATCGGTTGCCTAACTCCAAGCTGGGTTAAACTTCAACATCTTTAAGGATGTGTTTGTTTGCACTGCCAATTATCCCTCTCCTTTGTCTTCTACACTCCAAATTACCTCTTTCCTTTTTAAAAACAGAGTTCTAAGCATGGCTAGGATAAGAACCTACCATTTCACCCCAAGTCACCAAACTTACAGAAATTTCCTGGATGATCGGTTGCCTAACTCCAAGCTGGGTTAAACTTCAACATCTTTAAGGATGTGTTTGTTTGCACTGCCAATTATCCCTCTCCTTTGATGAGGAGGGAACTCTGAGATATTTTAAGAGCATTTTTCAATCATTCTTCCAAAAGCATGTCTGAAGAAATGTACTTCTGATAAATATGCATTAAATGGGAAGCATTTAAAAACAGTCGGACCTGTTTTGCATCCTTATATGTGTCTTTTTAAATTAGTGTTGAATTCTTGAGGGCTTCTTAGTCATTAATTACAATTAACTCCACCAATTGTCATGCCCTATGCATTCCTGATCCACTCCCTGAAGCCTAACCAATCTCCTTAATGGATGCCACGTCGTGCGCCTATCACTAGGTCCTGGTGGTAAAGAGTTTAGTAATCCCTGGAGGCCCCAGGCAACCATCAGGAGCTCTTGCTGGACTTGAATTTTTGTCCTAGAATTTGCCCTCAGTGATGCATTCTTTTCACTGGCAGTCGCTCATCCCACCGGTGCAGGATGCTTAGAGACAGGAAGGACTCCCTGGTCACCAGAGCCAACCATGAGGGCCAACACAGAGGCAGCAGCTATAGCAGAGGAGTCAGGATAATAGAATGAATGCCCAGAAACGCAAAATTAAGTCCACATAAAACAGTTTAATGTTAGCACATTAATTACTAAGCAAATTGATCTTCACACTTTTGGGAAATGGACCCAGATGGGACTGTGAAGCCCAGCAAGGTCTGAGGGAGAGTTGCTGTCACTGGTTGCTCTGTCCATTGCATGACTCCAGGGCCAATAGTTGAGTGGCTAAGCCACCTACCTGACTTGGAAGTCAGCAGACCCAGACCCAGCTGTGTCCTCCCACCAGCCAATTACATGCAGTGGGGCTGTGCCTGACCACTTTCTCTGAGGCTCAGAGAGTAGCAGGCTCCTCAAAAGGGCCTCAGCTGGAATGAAAGGCACAAATGCTCACTGCAGGCTGATTTCTGTGCCTGCACACTGCAAGACAGGAGTAAGTGCTCCGTGCTAGTTTTATTCCCTGAGACCCATTTCCCTCGGTAGAGGATAGATCCTCAGTGGGGTTAGTGCATGAGAACCAAGTCCTCTCTCACTTCCTTACTGCACTTCCAAAGGGAAGCAGCAAAGCTGTGGACACCTGAGACAATCGCCTTTGGAATAGGAACAGGGACATGAAACCTCTTTTTCTTTAATGACTGTGTTTTACATTCCTAGAATTCCCCTCTGGTTCTTGTTCTAAACACCTGTTCATTTCCTCCCGGATGTCCTACTTTTTGTCTATGACCTGCATTCCTTTAACTTGTTGAAAAATTTAAACACACCTATTTTGAAACTGTAGCTCACTGCCGCCTGTGGCTCTGGAATATTAATTCCTTTGTGAGCATCATTTTCCTGTGCTTCTGGGCATCCAGGGGTGGATATCCCATGTCCTGACTTGGCATTTGTGACTATTGCTGTCAAGTGTCTTTGATACTTAATGCTTTCTTTGGTACAAATGTTGGCTCTGTGTCAAAATCGGGAGCCTCTCTGACAGCAGAGAGCAGGTACCCAACTGGTTTTCCTGCTTACTGAAGTGGCAGCCTTTCTCAGGGCTCACATTGACTGAAGGGTCTCAGTTCAGCTCTCCCTACCCTCTGGATGGAGGACTCACTTCAGCCCAGTGCCTCCTTCTGACCCTGCATCTAAGCACGAATTCCTAACTTGAGTTTTGAGATCCATCTACTGATGGTGCACGAGTCTCTTCCTCTTGCTTTCAAGTTCAACTGCATTTACAATTTTTGTTACATTTTGTCCATTTTTGTCTGCATCTTTGGAGCAAGGGGAAGCACACTATTCAATTCACCTTGCTATGTGGACTGTAAGTCATACAAATGGATGCAATACATATGGCACGGTAAGGGCAATAGAGAATCACCAGTGCCCACTTAGATACATGCATCATTACCGTGCTTACAGGTGCCTTTGTTGGGTGTTAAATACCTTGATCTTTAAAGCCAATCTGGATGGTGGACATCTTTATCTCCATCTTATGGATAAGAAATCAATGTTCATAAATGTTCATAAAGTAAAAGCAAATTGCAGAATTAGCATTTTCCTGCTTTTTAAAAAGGAAAGGCTACATCTGTCTCTGACCCAACCAAAGCTCTGGACCAGCTTCTGTATCTCAAGGCTTCCAGAAAGATCAGCAATAGGGAGAGGTAGTTCACAGGTCTAGCTCACAAAATCCATAATGGGTTTAAATCCTCAACATCAAAGCAGACATAAAGGTGAACAGTGTGTTGTCCTCTGCAACTACCCTCACTGAGGAAGTATGCCCTTGTCCCTGTGTCCCCATCACCTCCTGATCATATCTCAGACCCTGGGTCACTAATGGGTCTATGAACTCACCACACCAATACCCAGGAATAGCTCGCAGACCCGCACCCAGAGAGGGCAGGGCTGCTAGGGGTAACGGGAAAGCCAGGCTGGCAAGAGGAACATCCAACTACCACCATTACTAAATATTAATAACAACAAAAATGACCACAGACACCTGAGAAAGCCCAGTCCTTATGTCACTGATAATCTTGTGATGCTACTGCTAGGTAGATGTTTCTAACCCAAACCTAACTAGGAGGGAAATAGAACCAGAGTGGGTTGATAATGTATTCAAAGTCACTCAAGCACACAGAAATGAGAACTGACCCAGGTATCTGATGACAAAGCCAGACTTTGTGCTCCATGGGAGGCCTCCTCTGAGAACCTGATGATGAAAGGGTGCATCCATGCCTGCTTCCTCTCATATCCCT